CGTTCTTGATTCTTTCGTCCGCTAGAACCAGACGAGTTCGAGTGCTTCCCACCACTTGGTTTAGGCTTCCTTCCTGCAGTACCTCTTCGTCTCCCTGAACTACCTCGAGATCCATTTTTTCTTCGACTTCGTCTAAGGATGAGGAGCCCGACGACTCCTGCAAGTAAGAATGCACCAAAAATACCGCCTATAACTCCCCCGACGACTACTGCATTGGGTGATTGACTCGGCGGTAGCTCGCTGTAAGGAAAGGTGCTTTCGGGGGAGTCGGTAATTGTAGCAGTCGTCTCGTTAACAGCTGCCGCCAGTGAAGACGTTGAGGTGTATGTAATGGAGTCAAGCTATATGGTAGAGGGAGAAATCTGGTGAGCAATCGGTGCTAATTCGCTGCACAAGCACTCACGAGGAAGGAGGAATTGTCGTGAGTTTGTATACAGAGCGTATGTTCCTTGTTTGAAAGGTTTGAGGCTTGAAACAATGTCACATTGTATAATATGTTGTCCTGATCATTTGTTTCAACTGTCTGCATCGGACTCTCGATCCCGTCTAGCGTGAATGACACGTTAGGCGTGCCCCTATCTCTCCAATTCCCTCCTATAACCACTCCTTGAATCCAAATAGCTGGCCCTGGAGAGAATGGTGAGCTCCGGGTAACATGCAGCTGTCGATAAACTACCTGTGAAGTTGAAGGTCACCCCATGATCAGCTGCCTCGACTCCATGGAAGGATCCTCCTTGAAGGTGACTGTTGTCAAGTGTCTCTGGACATGATCGACAAGACGCGATTGTATACCACTCCTGTCCGCTGTACACTATCCTGCGAGGCGTAAGAGATGGCGTTAGCTACGTTGACGCAGTGATCGAAACTTAATGGGGTCTCAAATTTTCAGAAAAAAATACCTACCGACTATCCTGGTCGTCTATAGTGACATTATAGTCGAAACCTCGCACAAACTCGATCAAGAGCAGTACGAGTGCGACGGGCAAGGTGGACATGGGTTTGGGGAGAGGTCAGGAGTGTTCCACATAGATTGAGGGGGACGAATTTCCAAAGGTTCCTTTTAATGTCTGAGACTTTTCCAAACGGGAGGGGTGAATTCAAAACGTAAAGGTCGGTCCTGAGATATCAGGCTTCTCCGTTGTTTTTTCAAGGATCAAGCGAATCAGAAGCCGAGTGCGGTAGCCTTTGTTGACGTATGAATC